AGGCACTGGGCTAAGTGCTTGACAAACAGTTTCCCTGACCACTTCCGACAATCCTCTGAGGTAGGTGTTGATGGTCCCATTTTACAGATGCAGACACTGAGACTCAGGAAAGTTAACCTTGTTGAATACAACACAGCTATAAGTGACAGTACCAGAATGCTAACCAAGGCAATCTGACTTGATTCTTGTGAACCCCACAATGGAGGGGCTCTGTCCATTATTTGGTGACAAGAACAAGACCTTGAACATATAAGGCATTCAAGAAATATCTGTTGATTGAAAAGGAATGAATAAATGACTCCCAAAGCTACTGAAATATGTAACTGAAGTACAAGTGCCCTGTCTCCTAAAGGTTCCTCTGCTTTTCCTTATAGTATTTTTTTGCTAAAGTTTGACAGTAGCCTTAGATATTTAGGAACCATTGTAATAGTGGAGTGGGGCAGGGGAGAGGTGATTTCTTCTGGTTCTTTAAGTCTGTAAAAGTGGGTAGAATCTAAATATTGATTATAGATTTCAACAAAGTGGCTTAAATATTCAATACATTCATTTCATTAAATAAAGTGTAATAATGTGCAGCAAATTATTCTGAAACCATCAACACATTTTTACTTAAGATTAATGGAATTTCTTGTGATTACAATATTTTATACGGTTCACTTTCAAAATACTGTTTGATTCTACCATGATTTTCTGTATCAGTTTTAAATTTTTGACACTTTTTATTTTTTTTTGTTTTGTTTTTCTTTGGCACTTTCTTTTAAGACAAAATTTTTAACCTTAAGATATATTCTCCTCCTGTTGTAATTTCTTGATTATCTCTTTGTTAACGTTATTTATGTTGCTTCTCTTTTAACATTTTATCCATTTGTCTATTTACTTTGGCAATCGCAAAGTATCCCAGATATTATTCTTCAGTCACTCTCTACTTCCTTCTTTTGATACCAAGGGGCACAACTAATCATTCAAGATGAGTGTAGAGTAGAAAGAAATCTCCAGAGACCTAATTTATAGTTTTATTTCCACCTTACAACTATTTCCCTTTCATCACTAGCAGCATAGATTTTATCTGAAAACAACATAGTTTTCAAACTTGTAGCTTCTAGTAGGTGCCACATAGACAATAATAAATACTCACCAATGATTATTATTATGCTTATATAATTATCACTTTAGAAAACATTCCAGTTCATACTCTTAACTGTATTGCAAGACAAATAAAGCTCTTCTGTTTTTTGTTGTTGTTGTTAATCTCCAAGAGTGAACATTTTGACCTGGGCAAAGTATATTTTTCTGTTTTAATATGAAAATTACAAGTGTACATGTACACACACATGCATATATTTTACACACACACACACACACACACACACACACACACACACACATATGTAATAGTTCTACCCTGTAAGATACTATACCCTGTAATTGTCCTACTCTCTATGGACACTAATATTGTCCAAATAATAGAAAATGGGAAACATATTTAACTTCCTTGTACCTTCCTTTAAACTTTGATCTCTTTCCTCAAATACAGAATGTTTTCTTTGCAACCCTTCTTTATCTTCCAGGCAATTTTGAGTATTCCTTATTATATGGGGGGATAGGCTATTTCTTTAATGCAGAAACCCCAACAAGTCAGGTTGGCCTGTGGATATTTATTTGACCAATATCCCCTTCTGCTTCCACTCGTCTGAAATCCCCTCATGACTTTTTTTTTCTTTCTTTCTTTTTTGGGATGGATTTTTGCTCTTGTGGTCCAGGTTGGAGTATAGCCACGCAATTTCAGCTCACTGCAACCTCCGCCTACCAGGTTCAAGTGATTCTCCTGCCTCAGCCTCCCAAGTAGCTGGGATTTCAGGCTCTCGTACCACGCCCAGCTAATTTTTGTATTTTTAGTAGAGATGGGTTTCACTATGCTAGCCAGGCTGGTCTGGAACTCTTGACCTCAAGTGATCCATCTGCCTCAGCCTCCCAACATGCTGGGATTATAGGCCTGAGCCACTGCACCCAGCCAAACCACTGCTCCCGGCCCCCCTCATTATTTTGACCAGAGGGTGCCTCTTATTTACCTTCTAAGATAAACACTGGAGAAAGGGAGGGGAATGAACATTGATCAGTTGCCTGCTCTGTGCCAGGTGCTGTCTGAGGCAAGGTGCATGAGCAATCTTTCAGCAAATGAATTCACCTCAGCTCCACTGCCATTTTTAGAGCTACATCCTGGCCCTCAGATATGGAGAATCCAGAAATAAAAAACACAATAGGAGAATGATTCCAGCAATTTCTCTTTCTTCTTTTTTTTTTCTTTTTCATGCAAGCACAAGAAAGTGTTACTGATTTCAGCAATTTCAAAGGAAAAACCAGCTTATATCCAGCTGCCAGCTAGATCAAGTGCCACTACAATCAGAAATATTTTCCTGGCAACTTCAAACATTAAAAAGAATCACAATGGCAATAATATTTCCTGTTTAAAACACAGACCTCCCAACTGGTTGGACAGTGAAAATCTTACTCTTGTATAAAATAGACCAACCTATATTCATTTTACATAAACTTTTATTATTTTAATTTTGAGAAATACACAAGAGTGCCAAAAAATATGACAATACCTGTAAAACCACTTAAATAGATATTACTAATATTTTGTCATATTTACTTCATCTTATTTTTATTAATAAGAGAAAAACATTGCTAATGATATTGAAGTTTCTTTATAGCTTACCCTTCATGCTATCTGCCCCCAGAAGCAACTACTGAATTTTGTATCATTACAATTCACATTTATACTATTATATGCACATATATGAAATTACATTTTACACAAAGTTTTAAGATTACAGGTGGGGAAATGAATTGCTCTCTGCCTTTCATGCTTAAAACCCATTACATTTTACACAAAGTTTTAAGATTACAGGTGGGGAAATGAATTGCTCTCTGCCTTTCATACTTAAAACCCAGTCTCGTTCCCATAACCTTGTGCAAACCCAGTTACTATCTAATAATTTCAAATTCTCTAAGTAAGCTGAAATCCTTCACCTTTTAAGTAGAGGTTTTACTTGCAGGGAGCGTATTTGCTCTCAATGCAGGGGCAGGCTGAATGGAGTCCAAAGCACTAGGGTTTCACATTTGTAAGCGATAAGAGGGGGAGGTGGTGGTTTTCAGAGATCATGTTTCAAGTCCAGCCCCGGTTTTTATGTGTGTGGGAATGGACCCAAAGGAAAACACAGCTGAGCTGCATTGTAACTCTTCCTGTAGAACCTGTTCATGTCCAGGGTGAGTAAACTAGGGTAGAAATGTCTTCCTAAAACAGCCTCCGGTGAAATTTGTCCTTGGATTCAAAACAACTTACTTCCCAGGAAGTATCAGGGAAATCCCAACTGCCCCCCATTTTAGAAAGGTCTCTTTTCTGGGAAAATCTGCCACTGAGAACTTTGCCCTCCTCTCTATTATGGGAGGAAGAAATAGAATTAGGGAGGTGTCACTCAGTAGAGTTGCTGATGTCAGTAGTGTGTCAGCCGTGGGAGGCTCACTTTGTGAAATTGAGCTACACCTAAGTGTCTTATGAAACTCAGTTCAGAACTTACCGGAGTTGCCGTCTGGAAGTGGGGAGGTCAGAAGAACCCTAAGATTTTCCCTCACATGTCTGTCCCATTTTTGAAACCTCTGGATTTAAAGCAATGAAAGCCTCAAGTTTATGGAGATTTTAAGAAATTGGTATGTAGCTTTGTACTTTTATTAATTCCTCTTTGAACCTGAGTGAATGTTGTAGTTACAGAGAGCTATGTGTGTGGACCACAGAGGATCGTGTTGTTAGGGTGTGCTGGTTTATTTCACTCTGTGTGAAATTGGGGAGTCCAGTCTAAACACTTTTTTCTCATGCCTGCATATGCATAGAAACCTTCAGCTCATTTTGTTCCTTTACATAATGAGGTTTACATGTTTGTGAAAAGCCTGGGTTCCCGTATGTCAGGAAATGGTTTTGCTGATAATGTAATGCAGAGAAGTGTTTATTATTTAGACTATTAAAAATAATCTTTTAAAATTATTTGAACATAATTTTAAAATCCAGCCGAAGTCTAATCATGGAATGAAATCTCTGTATTGGTATTTCCCTAATCCAGACTGGGGACAGAGAAGAGGAATGCAACCATGAAGTCCAAGTTGACAGGACAAACAAAGGCTCAGGATAGTACACTATCTTGCAGAGAGCTTAGGAAGCAGCCCAGTAAACATAACAAGTCATCCTTGATTCTGTGAATGAGCTGCTTTTTCTCAAATTAGTCGGTTTTCAAATGCACATTGCTAGGAAAGTTTGTTTCTCCGAGTCGACTGACAGAACTGGGTGCAGCAATAGCATATCAGTAGTGTGTATATCAGAGTGTACAGAGATTGGGAGCTATGTTCAAAAACTGGTGGTTCTAGCTCAGAAACCAAGAAGAGGCTCTGGTGTTCCCTCCTACCCACTCTGTGCCCCCAGTTACTGGTGCTAGGTTTCTGTGGCATTTAGGGGAACTCTCTTCACAGGTAGGAAACTGGTATCTTGGAGAATCACCCCTGCATGGGGGTTCCGTTTTACTTTCACTTTGCATTCTTTTGAAATTCAATCTTAGATGTTATTGAAACACCCCTTTGAATATCTTTCCATTTAACTATGAAACCAACATCTTTGAGGAGGCTGGTGCTTACTGGAATCTGTGCAGATTTCCTTATTATAGTTGAGTAAGAGGAAAAACAGTGTACATGTTCTTCCACAGATGGTTGGTTTTACTGTTCAAGGAAGATGTATTGGGGCGGTGAATCTTAATAGTTTAAGACTGCTGGCAGAAGAAGGAATAAAATGGTTTCAGGTCATAGTTGATTTGTAAAAAGGCCTGAATCACATATTCATGCTTCATCGTTAATCAGTGTACGTTCTTGGAGCTTATAGTCATTTGATTATTAAGCTGATTTATAGATTTAGTAAAAATAAGGATAAATAACACTGGGTTTTCTGTTTTCTTTAGTTATTCCAATGGAAACAGCTGGAGAACTTATATTTCCGTGAGAAAAAATTTGCTGTTGAAGTTCATGATCCACGAAGGTGAGGATCAAGGACTTTTCTCTGTATGACCCAGTTACTATACAAATAATCCTGCGATCGACATTTCTGTACAAGTTTTTGTATGAGTATGTTTTCATGACTCTTGGGCATATACCTAGGAGTGGAATTGCTGGGTGAGATGGTAACTATCTTTAACCCTTTGAGGAACTGCAAGGCTGCTTTTCAAAGTGCTGTACCATTTTACATCCCAACCAGCAGTATATGTCCTGATACTTGTTATTTTTAGTTTTGTGTGTGTGTATGCCATCATAGTGGGTTGAAGTGGTACCTTCTTGTGGTTCTGATTTGCATTTTCCTCATGACTAATGATGGCTGAGCATCTTTTCATGTGCTTCTCAGCTATTCATATATTGTTAGTAGAGAAATGTCTGTTCAGATCTTTTGCTCATTTAAAATGTTGATGATCCTGGTCATTAATTTAAAAAAAAAAAAAGCCAAGTTATCAACATGAACTGAAGTCAGGATGTGGGTTCTTATATATCTTAAGAGAAATTCTTTTTTTTGTTTTTGCTCCAAGACAGAATCTCAATCTGTCACCCAGGCTGCAGTGCAGTGGCACAATCTTGGCTCACTGCAACCTCTGCTTCCCAGGTTCCAGTGATGCTCATGCCTCAGCCTCCCAAGTAGCTGGGACTGCAGGCATGCACCACCATGCCAACCTAATTTTTGCATTTTTAGTACATACAGTGTTTCACCATGTTGGCCAGGCTCGTCTCGAACTCCTGACCTCAGGTGATCCATACCTTGGTCTCCCAAAGTGCTGAGTCACCATGTCGGGCCTTAAGAGAAATTCTTAATCAGCCCTTATCGGGTACTTTTCAGTCCCAAGATGGTTATGGATGTTTGAAGGCCGGAGTGATGGGAGGAAATACCTGTGATCAAAAGGTGACCCGAGGAGATAAGCCAAATTCTTACAAAGAACATTAGTACCGCGTCACACACACTGTCTGCTTCTTTCCTGTTCTCTCTTTCTCTCTTTTACACCCCTCCCTCCCTCTTCCTTCTTCCTCCTCTTCTTCCTCCTCTCTCCTCCCCCCTCCCCTTTCCTCTTTCCATCTGATGCATAAGCAGCAAGCACTCTGGATAGTTTTGGACTTGCATAGCTTCAGGCATTATCATTAAGTACATTCTCTGATAATGTCATAGCCGGCCAAATCTACCTAGATCTGAGATGCTCTTTTACCTTGAATTAGGTGCTCATCCCACACTTGGTTGCTGTATCTTTAAAATCCTATCCCATTTATTTCTAATCACTTGTGATGGCTGTACATCCTTAGAGTTTCTAACTAAATGTTTTTGTACGATCTCTAATTTGATTGATTTTTATCAGCTTTTGAAATCATTGTATGTGTTTTTAAAAATGCTGTTTATCCAGAAAGTGATTACTTAGTTCTGAATTGTTTTGATGTGAAAGGAGAAAATCAGAAACTTGGGCCTCATTTGCATAAGAGTTTTTATAACAGAAAGGCAAGTAAGAAGAAGATACTTTGTTACAACGCTGCTCACAGGGTATATTTTGCATCATGCTGGGCTGGAGGGGAAGTATTTGAGTGCTTTCTTAAATCTTTCAGGATTTCAGTGTCAAGAAGAACCTTTGGGCAAAGTGGCCTCTTTGTGCAAACATGGTATGCTAACTCTTCTCTCATCAAGTCCATTTGGGTAATGGCAATTAGTCAGCATCAGTTTTACTTGGACCGGAAGCAAAGCAAAGTAAGTAACTGGCAGCATTTCTTTAGGGACAGATTCCCTTTTTGCATTCTGTTCAGAACATAAGCCTTCTTAGAAAAGATGCAAGCACAAGCATTTTTGCTCTCTGAGATTTTGTTGTGTTCAACTTCCAACTGTTTCCATTTTTTATATGTTTAAACGATAGGCATTATGTAAAGTGCTTTAAAAGTTGTAAGACTGGCCAACTTTTTGGCATGCATGTGTGACATACTGGTATGTTCATATACTGGTGACATTGCTGGTGGTGATGTTGCTGATGACATTTTAAAGTTAGTAGCTGAACCACACCACCAGAAAATCACATATAGTTATTAAAACATTTTAACTACAACACTTAAGGCTTTGTGTGTCTGTGTGTGTGTGTGTGTGTGTGTGTGTGTGTGTGTTTTGTCTGAAGAATCCCACTTGAATATGCAAAAATTTTAAATTATCCTGTGTTGATATTTTTATTGTATGTTAACTTAATTGTTTTATGAATTTGAAGTATGTTTGAGTTAATTCTGTTTCATTGTTGTATGCTTCTTAGGCAAAAATTCCTTCAGCCAGGAGTTTAGATGAGATTGCAATGGATTTGACTGAGACAGGAACACAGAGAGCCTCCAAGCTGGTGACACTGGAGGCGAAAAGTCAGTTCATTATGGCGAGCAATGGCAGTTTAATCTCCTCAGGTAACATCTTGGGATTAGAGAACGTGCAGGCCATCTTTATTTTATTTGTTTCTTTGGTCATAAACCACTTCTAAATTCATCTTTTAATCTATTCTTTTGGGAATAGGTAAGTATGTCCATAAATATGTATGAAGCAACTTGAATAAAAATTTAAGGCTAGTTTTTTAAAGAATATATAGAAAGTCAAATTATGAATAGGTTGTGCAAGTAATATGAGATGCAAGGTTGGTGAGTACAGATGTGTGGCTTCAAAGAACATTTTCCACAGTAGCTGCTTTTCCCAGCGTTTAGTTTTTGATACAGATAATTGTCTAATTCCCCATGCAGTATAAAATGCTGTACAAACATGATTACAAGCATACCCATTCAAATGTGATAGCTTGCCCTAAGCCCTTCCTCTGTAAAAATTCTGGAATCTCTTATCGTTAAGTATATGTAACTTTACTAAAATGATTCATCCCATCTAAATCTCACTGTCAACTTGTAAATCTGAATTTTCTTCACACAGATTATTCTTTTCCTTACCTGCTTACTTTCTTTCTTTCTTTCTTTTTTCTGAGACAGAGTCTCACTCTGTCACCCAGGCTAGAGTGCAATGGCGTGATCTCAGCTCACTGCAACCTCCGCCTCCTTGGTACAAGTGATTCTCCTGCCTCAGCCTCCTGAGTAGTTGGGACTACAGGCACATGCCACCACACTCTGATAATTTTTGTATTTTTAGTAGAAACACGGTTTCGTTATGTTGGCCAGGCTGGTCTCGAACTTTTGACCTCATGATCCGCCCGCCTTGGCCTCCCAAGTACTGGGATTAGAGGCATGAGCCACCCTGCCCGGCCTTCCTTGCTTACTTACTCTCTAAAAAGAACACTTGAAACAACTATTCAAGAACCATCTTACCTTCTATTCTGCTCAGAAAAATGAAAATTTTCCTTGGGTGTGTCTGGGACATTAAGCATTTTATGATTATCCCCAAAATGACTGAGCCAGAATCCAGAAAGGCACATTTTATTACCAGGTTCTGTTTGATGCCCAGAAGAATGAGAAAATGTTTTCCAGTTTCCTTTTATTATGTTGAGAAACAAGGAGAAAAGAAATAAACTACCGTTTAATAAGCAGCTTTAGCTTAAAAATCCTTTGTCCTTTAGAAAGGAAGGAAACGTGCCTTGTGTAAACCTTCCCTGCCCTTCCCCCATTCCCTAGGTTCTCAAGACTCAGAAGTTAGTGAGGAGCAAAAGAGAGAGAAAATCCTTGAACTAAAAAAGAAGGAGAAACTGTTACAAGAAAAACTTCTGAAAAAGGTTGAGGAGCTTAAGAAGATCTGTCTGCGGGAGGCTGTGAGTCTGCTTTTTTGGGCTTATCAAATTGTGTTTGACAACTTGGACCAGTGTCAATTATCTGCTCTTAATCCTGTCCTGTTTTACAGGAGCTTACAGGCAAAATTCCAAAGGAGTATCCCCTGAACATAGGCGAGAAGCCTCCTCAGGTCAGAAGACGTGTAGGTACTGCGTTCAAATTAGATGACAACTTGCTGCCGAGTGAAGAGGTATGGACAACATCTCAGACTTCCAATTAATCATGAGACAGGAAAGCTGTCTGAGTATAGTGTGCGTCTTCCTTTGGTTTTTGCGTCTCTGCTGTATGTTATCTCACCAATAGAGATGGATCGTGTAGACCAAATTGAACTCTTTTCTTTCATCCCCACTCCAGTCAAAATTGAGTTACTTTTCGCTACTTTATTCCCCAAATCAAAGACAGCATTCAATGAAACTCCAAATGTTTCTCAATTGAGAGGCAGTATTTAAGAATTAAGAACTGCAGCATTAGGTTCATTTACTTAAAACTGAATAATAGCAAATAGTTTAGCCTCTCTATAGTCTCATTTCTCAGGCCTCAGTTTTCCTCTTCTGTAAAATGTAGGTAATAACTGGACTTCCCTCCAAGGGTTCTAGTGAGTATTAAATGAGATAATACATACACAGCACTGAGCTACAATCAAGATAAAACATTTGTTAGCCGATATAGAGTGTATAATACTTTCTCATTTGCATGTCATCAGTCAATATGACCGTACTTATGTTTCTTATAGAAATTCGACCATCTTAGCTTTAGAAAATTTTAACTGTTCCCATCTTTGGAAATCTTTGCTATTTATTGAGTGCTCACTGCATACCTATCTCTGAGCTAAGCAATGCACATGTATTATCTCATTTAATCTTCAACCTACTTTCGTAAGGTAGGTGTTATCTTCGTTTTACAAATGAAAAAATACTGAACCATTAAAAAATGAAGCTGTGTGTCAGTTCTGGGCACAGGGTTCTAGGCAATGTATCTGGGGTCATACAACCAGAAACCACCAGAAAGAAGGTCAAACCCAAATTTATCTGTCTCTAAAGCTATGCATATGAATATAACCTTCTGCATCCATGAGCTTTGAGCTAAGAATATATCTGTGAAAACTGTGATCTTGACCCAACCAACTGAACAAATGAAAGACCCAAGGAAGGGTCCTTGAAAAGAGAAAAGGTGTGGACTAATGAGAAGTTCAAGACAGGGAAAGGAAAGTGTTTGAGGATGTCTATGCAGTAAAACTTGGGAAGATAGTATTCTCAAAGAACATCTGGTTCGAGAAAGTCCACAAGAAGTTTTATTACACAATGCATGTGAGAGTTGGTCGTATGTGTCCATAAAAATTAAGCTGTCGTTGTATAAATGCAGGATCCTACTTTGCAAGAGCTGGAGAGTAATTTCCTAATACAACAAAAGCTGGTGGAAGCTGCAAAGAAACTTGCCAGTGAGCCAGACCTTTGTAAAACTGTGAAGAAAAAGCGAAAGCAAGATTACACAGATGCAGTGAGAAAGCTCCAGGAGATTGAAAATGCAATAAACGAATACCGAATTAGATGTGGAAAGAAACCCAGCCAGAAAGCAACAGTGCTACCAGGTTAGTAACAAGTAAGGTGGTTTTTTTTTTTTTTTTTTTTTTTTTGAGTCTGTACTCAATACTTAATGGTATGTAGCATTTCCAAACCAGTTACTAGTTAATTTAGTGAGAGATAAAAGAAAAACTAGATGATCAAAACTAAGTTTTCTTTCCTTTTTTTTTTTTTTTTTTTTTTTTTTTTTTGTGGAGATGGAGTTTGGCTCTTCTTGCCCAGGCTGGAGTGCAGTGGTGCAATCTCAGCTCTCTGCAACCTCCACCTCCTGGGTTCGAGTGATTCTTCTGCTTCAGCCTCCCAAGTAGGTGGGATTACAGGCATGCGCCACCACACTCAGCTAATTTTGTATTTTTAATAGAGACAGGGTTTCACCCTGTTGGTCAGGTTGGTTTCAAACTCCTAACCTCAGGTGATCCACCCTTCTCAGCTTCCCAAAGTGCTGGGATTACAGGTGTGAGACACTGTGCCTGACAAATCTGGGGTTCCTTAGGATAAAAATTGTTTGGAATTTCAGTCTTATAACAATGTAAACTTGATTTTAAAATTCTGTGATTTATGAAGGCTGTTTAAAGATACAGACAGCATGGGCATGGTGGCCTACACCTGTAATCCCAGCACTTTGGGAGGCCGAGGTGGGTGGATCACACTGAGCTAAGGAGTTTGAGACCACCCCGGGAAGCATGGTGAAACCCCGTCTCTTGAAAAAATATTTTAAAAAGTAGCCAGGTGTGGTGGTGCACACCTGTAGTCCCAGCCACAGGGGAGGCTGAAATGAGAGTATCACTTGGGCCTGGGCAGACGAGGCTGCAGGGAGCTATGATTGCACCACTGCAATCCAGCCTGGGTGACAGGGCAAGACCCTGTCTCAAAAAGAAAAAGAAAAAAAGAAAAAGTAAATAAAATTTAAAAATCAAGATATGGGCAAATGGTCATGATATAACATGGAATGCAGAAAAGCCAGATATAAAATTGTTAACACAACATGATCGCAATTTTGTAGAAATAACCACACACAAAGACTGGACAAGAAATAAAATACTAATAGTTGTGAAATTTCAAGTAACTTAATTTTCTTCTTAATAATGCTCTTCTGTATTTCTCAAGTTCTCAACATTATAGATTTATGACTTTAATTTTCAGGATAAAAGTAAACTAAGAAATCACAGGTAGATTTAAAGTCCAATTGGCTTTACGTGGTGATTGGCATGGTTTTCAGCTGCGGTGATTGAAATATGATTGCATTTCTTTGATTGCAAGACATTTTTTTTTTCCATTTTAACATCTATGAAATTGGGATAGTTCTTTTTTTTTTGAGACAGTATCGCTCTCTGTCCTCCAGGCTGCAGTGCAGTGGCACCATCAAAGCTCACTGCAGCCTCGACTTCCTGGGTTCAGGTGATCCTCCTGATAGCTGGGACTATAGTATGTACCACCATGCCCAGCTAATGTTTTGTAGAAATGGAGTTTCACCATGTTGTCCAGGCTAGTCTCAGACTCTAGAGCTCAAGCAATCCTCCTATCTCAGCCTCCCAAAGTGCTGGGATTGCAGGTGTGAGCCACCACACCCAGCCTTGTGATAGTTTTTAACACACTAGATGGTGTGTTACAATCGTACTTGGCAGTACTTTTTTTTTTTTTTTTTTTTTCAATTTGTAGCCACTATTTAGTGGCATTTCACATTACTTTTTTTTTTAACTGGTGCTTAAAATATAAATCTTAGATTTGATGAAATACCATAACTGAGTTTAGATTATACTTGGGTACAGAACACGTAATTTACAAAGCAGAGACGTGGCTTTTGGAAAGGGAATATACAGATATCAACACACAAGTCTTAGTGCACTACAGCTGAAGAATGTAGAGTAGCTTTGACTGAATGTGAAATCCATTTGGCCTTGGGGGTGGTTAATTTCTAGACCTACAGATATGGGTGATTAGCATTGTGCTTAACTTCATGGCCATTTGTTATGGCCCATTCATCCTGAAACTGCAAAATTTAAATGTTCCCCTTTACAGTGAAAGGGTGTCTGACAGCTGAGTATACTGGCACCACTGTGTGTCTAATAGATAGTTCACTTGTTTCTGATACAGATTAACATTAGAGATTGGATGGAGAGCTTCCCTTCATAATGGTTTTGAAGTTTATATTGAAGGATTATATTTACCTAGAACCTTGTGCTGAAACACTCAACCAAATATGGAATGATTTGCCAATGCAGATCAATACATCTGAGTTATTTCTCTTTACTGAATACTTTTTTTTTTTTACATTTGAGACAAAGTCACCCAGGCTGAAGTATAGTGGTGTGATCTCAGCTCACTGCAACCTCCACCTCCCAGAATCTAGCAATTCTCCTGCTTTAGCCTCCCAAGTTGCTGGGATTACAGGCATGCCCCGCCACACTTGGCTAATTTTTGTATTTTTATTAGAGATGGGATTTTACTTGTTGGCCAGGCTGATCTCAAACTCCTCACCTCAAGTGATCAACCAACCTCGGCCTCTTGAGTGCTGAGATACAGGTGTGAATCATTTTGCCGGGCCATGTTATTTAGCATTTAATGGACACCAGCTATAGTCAGAGTGTCATGGTCATTGCCAACCAGAACACAGTGTCTAGGTAACAAAAGCAGCAAGTCTAGCTAACATTTACTGAGCATTTGTCATGTAATGCTGGGAGCTGGGTTAGGGGCTTTACATCCGCTATTCTAACACCTCACCCCAGTACTACGTGATAGGTACTGTTGTTACCTCCATTGTAGGGTTCAGCCGGGTGATGCTTAGAGATTAAGTAATTTGCCCAAGGTCTCACAGTCAATAAACGGCAAAACCAAGACTTAAACCTAATTCAGTGGTTCTCATCCAGCGGGGCTGGAAATCCTATAATGCACAGGACAGCTCCCCAGGACAAAGGATTATCCAGTTCAAAATGTCAGTAGTGCCACTGTTGAGAAACTTGTTGAAAAGCTTGGCTGGTTGTAGTGCTTCACATCTTTAATCCCAGCACTTTGGGAGGCTGAGGCAGGCAGATCGCTTGAACCCAGGAGTTCAAAACCAGCCTGGCCAACATGGTGATACCCGTATCTTTACTAAAAATCCAAAAAATTAGCCAGGTGTGGTGGTGTGTACCTGTAGTCTCAGGTACTTAGGAGGCTGAGATGGGAGGATTGTTTAAGCTCAGGAGGTTGAGGTTGCAGTGAGCCATGATAGCACAACTGCACTCCAGGCTGGGTAACAGAATGAGACCCTGTCTCAAAAACAAACAAAAAAGAAAAAGAAGAGAGAAGGTCCTTTCTTTCAGGAACAGGTGAAAAACCAAGTTATACTAAGAGTAGATTCTCAAAAGAGGATTCATTTGTGTTTTATATAACATTTTGCATTTATAATAAGAATGGCATAATTTTTCTTTCCAGTTTGTTGGTTGTAAGCACCAAATATGTAGGTAAAGTTTTCCTCCAGTGTAGAAGAAACACCGAAAACTAGTTTAAAACCAGCACTCCCTTTAAGTCTGTTCCATTTTAAGAAATAATCTAATGTAATATTCGTACAATATGTAAGATGTTTTGATTTTTGTTAGTATCTGAGTCAATTCTTACTGCAGTAGTTATTTTTAATGTACTGTAATTAGTTACATTTTTTTAAAAGAAGATAAAATTTACCCCATTGAAAGTTGTTCTTCTAAGGCCCCTCTAATTGTATAAATGCATATTTATACTAAAAGCAGTTCTTTTTATTCACAGAAGACATAATCCCCTCAGAGAGTAGCTCTTTGTCTGATACCACCACGTATGATGATCGTAAGTGGCTCTTCCTTTTTTGGTTTAAAAATGTTAGATATTCTGAAATAATTAAGATAGTTTTCTTAGTTAAGTAAAGCCTACTTGTTTTTCTTTTGCCAAAAAGTAGAATAAACTAACTTACATTTATGCAAAATGGTTGGGAAAGGAAATGCATGATTAACACCTACTCAGGTTAACTCAGCATTAAAAACAGGACCACACAAAATCCCATGACTTCAGGAAATCAGAACACTTTCACAGGATTGTCTAAGTCTCTCAGTAAGGACTTTAAGGCTCTCTGAAGTGTTTCTTAACTTTTTATTTTGAAGTAATCATGGGCTTATGGAGAGTTCCATAATTAATAGAAAGAGTCCTTCAGCCAGCTTTTCCCAATGGTGACATCTTTTTTTTTTTTTTTTTTTTTTTTGAGACGGAGTTTCGCTCTTGTTACCCAGGCTGGAGTGCAATGGCGCGATCTCGGCTCACCGCAACCTCCGCCTCCTGGGCTCAGGCAATTCTCCTGCCTCAGCCTCCTAAGTAGCTGGGATTACAGGCACACGCCACCATGCCCAGCTAATTTTTTGCACCTTTAGTAGAGACGGGGTTTCACCATGTTGACCAGGATGGTCTCGATCTCTCGACCTCGTGATCCACCCGCCTCGGCCTCCCAAAGTGCTGGGATTACAGGCTTGAGCCACCGCGCCCGGCCAATGGTGACATCTTAAATATCTGGAGTCCAATATCAAAACCAGGATATTAGAGTGTACACTTTGATTATCACTGAATTCATCACAATATGAAATAAAATCATTTTATGTTTCACAATATGAAATAAACTTTCACATTTTAGATAAATGAAAGTTTCTTTCACTTAGGAAGAAAGGCACAGTTAGACGTTGGGCTACCTGTCATTTTGTTGTTTCATAGAGGTAGACTGTATCGATTGTAATGGCCTGTATTTGTTCAATACATTTCATTGTAGAATAGGTTTCCTATCAACTAGTAGACTATTTCTTTGTCATCTCTTTTCCTTAATCAGATGAGTTGGCTTCTCTGTGGTATGACTTGAAGAATTCAGGAAGCCACCCCCTACTGCTTTACCTTTCCCAGGTTTTGTGGTACATAAAATTTCACCACTGCAGACTTCTTTGGTCATCCTTGCCATTCCTCTTTGAAAATGTAATTATCAGTGGGAAACATAGCAAGCCTCTAATGATGGAGCATAAGTCAGTTTCGTTACTTTAAATGACAGGATAAGCCTTTGGCCTAAGAGGTCTAAAAACTTTTATTTTTCCTTTTTATTTGTATCATCTTTTTGTTCACTACCTTCATCCTTTTTTATCTTTTTTTATGCTTTGTTTTTTCTTTCTTCTTGAGGCCTAAAAACTTTAAAAGTAAAGGTGAACAAAAATGATCCAGGCTAACGTCCCTTTGGTTCTTTCCACACTGGGGATTTTCTTTAATACAGCTTTTTAAAAGCTGCTCTATTACCGATTCCCTTTGAGTGATTTACTCTCTCAGAGTAGAATTTGGCAAAAGATATTTCAGGTCCCAGAAGAGGGTTCAGCAATTTCATGTTTTCTGGCATATAAAATATAAAAAATAACTTCTTGAACATTATGTACTTCTAAAACTATCATCTTTGGAAGAACACTTTGTTCACTAAATCTTCCAATTTCTTTTTTTAAGGTGTTGGCAAGATATTTATTTACTTATTGATTTACCTACTGATTTTTTCATTCACCCCTTTACTTATTATAGCCAGTGACGCCTTCTCTGTTGCTGGGCCGCGATCAAGTTCAGTACCTCATTCTCCAAGAATTCTTCCCCCTAAGTCTCTTGGTATTGAGCGAATCCATTTCAGAAAGTCGTCCATCAATGAACAGTTTGTGGATACCAGGCAGTCCAGGTGAGACCTCATATTATCAGTAAGGTTAATGCCTTACCACTAGGAAATTTTTTCCTCCAAAATGCAGTGTGTGGTTGATACATTTTTACAAGTTTTTATTTATCCTTCCAGAGGATGTTATCTTGTAAAACTGGGGCATAGAAACTAACCCAGTTATTTGTTGTTTGCAGCAAATGAAACTGTTTTTAAGAAGTCTTTTAAAATGTATTAGACCATTTCCTTGACTTTAAAGTCTATTCAATCTATATTAACTTGTAGGGACATTAATTATCATCTGGATTTGGACATAGTGTCCTCAGTTCAGTTTCATAGTCACTGGTCTAAGGAAATTGTCATTAAAATCCACTCTGCCAAACCAAGTGGCAGGACTGATTTCCAATCCTGCAAATAAACATGGCACTTAAACCCGTTTTATAATCTGTAAAATAGATAATCCAAGCATTTTCTTAAATATCTCAGTCATCAGTATTATCCAGGCAATAAGAAACTTGACAGGCCAGTGGTTCCCAGAATTTGGCTGTATGGACGAATCCTTAAAAAAAAAAAAAAAAAAAAATAGGACACAAGATGGGATTACCAGTGGTTGGTCTGCCTAAAAAGGAATCTTCAAACAGGCTGAGTGTGGCAGCTCACACCTATAATCCCAGCACTTTGGGAGGCCAAGGTGAGAGGATCACTTGAACTCAAGAGTTGGAGATCAGACTGGGCAATCTAATGAAGCCCCATCTCTACATTAAAAAAAAAAATTTTTTTAACTTATTTGTTAGACAGAGTCTTGCTCTGTTGTTCTGGCTGGAAGTGCAGTGGTGAAATCTCAGCCCACTAAAACCTCCGTCTCCTGGGTTCAAGCGATTCTTTCATCTCAGCCTCCTGAGTAGCTAGGATTACAGGCACACACCACCATACCCATCTAATTTTTGTATTTTTAGTAGAGACAGAGTCTCCCTATGTTGGCCAGGCTGGTGGTCTTGAACTCTTGACTTAAGGTGATCCACCTGCCTTGGCCTCCCAAAGTGCTGGGATTATAGGAATGAGCCATCACGCTTGGCCCTTGGTTTTTTTTTTCATTAGCCAGACACGGTATTGCATACCCATAGTCCTAGCTACTTGGTAGACTGAGGCAGGAGGATTGCTTCAGCCCAGGATTTCAAGAGTGAAGTGAACTGTGATCACGCCACTGCACAGCAAGGTGCTGTCCACTCAACCCCCACCAAAAACAAGGCAGGGCGTGGTGGCTCATGCCTGTAATCCCCCAGCACTTTGGGAGGCTGAAACAGGTGGATCACAAGGTCAAGAGATTAAGACCATCCTGGCCAACATGGTGAAACCCTGTCTCTACTAAAAATACAAAAATTAGCTGGGCGTGGTGGCACTCTCCTGTAGTCCCAGCTACTTGGGTGGTTGAGGCAGTAGAATCACTTGAACCTGGGAGGCAGAGGTTGCAGTGAGCCAAGATGATGCCACTGCACTGTAACCTGGTGACAGAGTGAGATTCTGTCTCAAAAAAAAAAAAAAAAAAAAAAAAAAAAAGAAAAGAAATGGTCAAACAAATAGCACCATGAATCCATGAAAGAAATAATATTTTGATATAAACAATAAATCCACTATCATTGTTGTAGTAATACTAATTGAATGAAGTTAACATTTCACTTAATGTTAATTTGATTTTATATTAATTTTATATAACATTTCTATTGAGCGCTTACCTTTTTTTTCTTTTTTCTTTTCTTTCTTTTTTTTTTTTTCCTGAGATGTGTGTGGTCTTACCACTGTTGCCCAGGCTGGAGTGCAGTGGCACCATCTCGGCTCACTGCAGCCTCCTCCTTTTAGGGTCAAGCAGTTCTCCCACCTCAGCCTCCCAAGTAGCTGGGATGTGTGCCACCATGCCCCACTACTTTCTGTATTTTTAGTACAGGTAGGGTTTCACCATGTTGGCCAGGCTGCTCCTGAACTCCTGACCTCAGGTGATCTGCCAAAGTGCTAAGTTTATAGGCATGAGCCACCATGCCTGGCTGCTATTGACCATTTACTGTGTCCCAGACAGTTTATGTTTTTCCCATGTAATTTATTAATGAATTTAATGCTCATGACAACCCTACTGTCATTACTCTTTAGAGATAAGTACACTGAGGGCCAGGGACCACGAATAACTTCACTGGGTTCATCAACTAGTAAACATGGGAATCAAGGGTTGAACCTAGGTAGCCTGGAACTTGGCAGGCTCCAAAGCTTACGATGTGTGTGATTTTGGTGAACATATTATACTACATCTCAGCACAGATGGAAAGTATTTGCTTTACAAGGGCCAAATAGAAGACATTTTTTTAAATTTTTAAATAAAGAAAATTATTCTTAAAATCAAGGTAGATTAATGGATTATCCAAATTGGATAAATTTTTACTTATGAAAATATAACCTACACTTTTTATATTTGTAATTTGTTAAAGGCCAGTGAAAACTTTATCACTTTATCCCAGTTTGTGGATTAGCATTTAGGAACTTTTGCCTGAAATGGTAGATTCAAAGAGCCAGCGTTGTGGTAGCCAATTTAAAGTAAATAAAATTTAAAATTCAGTTCCTCTGTCATGCTAGCCACAATTCAAATGCTCAGCAGCTACATGTGGCTAGTGGCCACATGTGTACTCTTTATTAAAAGTCCTTTTTTTTCTACATATTTGTGACTAGAAAGTCAGACCGTATATGCTTCCACTAAAACTCACCTAGGATGTACCAGGACACTAAACCACAAAGATACCCTTCCTATCTTTCTCCCTATATGCCCTTTCCTTGGGCTCCTAGTAAGTTTCCTATCAGCTTATGACAAGTTCCCCAGAGATGTTGAGAGATTCATCATTTCCTGAATTCTTCTTTTTATCATCACAGAGAAATGCTGTCGACACACAGCAGCCCTTACAAAACTCTGGAGAGGCGGCCCCAGGGAGGACGAAGCATGCCCACCACACCAGTACTCACCCGAAACGCCTACAGCAGCAGCCACTTGGAGTAAGAGAGCTTCATTCTCATTGCTTTGGCTCTGTTGATTTTTGCTTTGAGCTTCTGTCTTGCTGTGTTGCGATTTTTAATCATTTCAAGTGACTTTCTGTAGCAGGACCTTGTTTTATGGTTTTACATTCTCTGCTAACTTATGGTTTCAAATACGTTGGCAAAAAATGTATTTGATTTGTTCAAGTATACATTAGATTTTTAGTACCTTAATTTCCCCAGTCACGTATTACCATTCATTATTCAGTGGTGAGGATGAAGTTAGTAACAATGGCAACATTTTGAAATGTTTGTGAGTGCTATGCTAAATGTTTTATATGCACTGTATTATTTAGTCCCTATAGCAAGCCTTTTGTGAGGTAATAAGATATTGTTTTCATCCTCATCTTACAGAGGAAGCAAGATTCAGAGAGGTTAAATATCTTGTCTGAGCTCATGCAGCTGGGAAATACCAGTGCCGTGACTCAGCCCAGAATTGAATGTACCACATCTTCATATCCTCTAGGAAGACAGACTCTCCGAAGACATGTTGGGCTTTTTCTTTAGGCTCCAATGCAAACTGTGCATCATCAGTTTATGTCTTTCCCTACCCTCAAGGAAGGATTTGGCTTGCAGACCTAGTAGAACCCAGTTCTTTTCTCATTTTGACCGTGGTAATGAACTTAACGTGTGAGCCAATAGATTTGGTGAACAAATAGATTCTGTTGTGCAGTCAGCTTTGGCAACCTTCAAAGTCCTGTTGCGATTCATGAGCTATTCAGTCATTCAGCATGGTATTCTTTTTTCCTATTTGGGTCCTCCTTTCCTTCTTGGTTTTGACAAATTTGCTTTCTCCTATTTCAGACCCGAATCTTCGTCTCAGCACTGCCGCCAGCGGAGTGGAAGCCTAGAGTCCCAGTCCCATCTGCTCTCTGAGATGGACAGTGATAAGCCATTTTTCTCCCTCTCCAAATCCCAAAGAAGCAGCAGCACAGAAATCCTCGATGATGGGTCTTCTTATACAAGCCAATCAAGCACAGAGTATTATTGTGTGACACCAGTTAGCGGCCTCTATTACACCACCCAAACCCTGGACACTCGCACCAGGGGTCGGAGGAGGTCAAAGAAACAGAATGTTTCTACTTCAAATTCAGGAAGCATGCCCAACCTAGCACAAAAGGATAGTTTGAGGAATGGTGTCTACTCAAAGAGTCAGGAGCCACCACCTTCCAGTTACTACATTGCCGGGTACACACCCTATGCAGAGTGTGACTTCTATTACAGTGGTGGTTATGTCTATGAGAATGACACCGAGGGACAGTATAGTGTCAACCCTTCCTACCGATCCTCAGCCCACTATGGATATGAACGCCAGAGGGACTACAGCAAATCCTTTCACGAAGATGAGGTCGACCGGGTGCCCCATAACCCATATGCAACTCTCCGGCTGCCAAGAAAGGATGCCACAAAATCTGAGCACATCACCAAAAACATCCACAAGGCCTTAGTTGCCGAGCACCTGCGTGGCTGGTACCAGCGGGCCTCTGGGCAGAAGGATCAGGGCCACAGCCCACAGACTAGCTTTGATTCAGACAGGGGATCACAGAGATGTCTGGGGTTTGCGGGCCTGCAAGGACCTTGTTCTCCAAGCAGTCGTGCATCCTCCTACTCTTCAGGTGAGAATACTGTAAAAACATGCGACACCTGGATTTTATTTACATTATGTTCCTGCCCACCCAGAACCACTTCACGGATCATGGGACCAGTACTCAAGGTCAAAAGAGTGGTAACCATTCGGTGGAACCCCACAACCAGGATTTCCCATTTAAAAACAGTTCTTTCCAGCCCTCCAAAGAACTCAGTACACTTGAGTGTAATGAAGCAAATTGTAGATTCATATCCAGCAAACTGATTGAGCATGTACTCTCTGTGCTGCCTTGTGTTAGGATTTTGGTTTTGTTGTTTTTTGTTTTGTTTTGTTTTGTTTTGTTTTTGAGACAGAGTCTCACTCAGTCACCTATGCTGGAATGTGTTAGGGGTTTCACTTGCATTATCTTTTTAGGATTTACATTGATAGACACACCTATTAAATGTGTTCACATCATTGAGGTTTGATATTTTGAAAGAATAGAGTACAGGTGGAAGCAGTGGCTCATGCCTGTAATCCCAGTAATTTGGGAGGCCAAGGCGGGCGGATCACGAGATCAGGAGTTTGAGACCAGCCTGGCCAACGTAGTGAAACCTCGTCTCTACTAAAAATACAAAAATTAGCCGAGTGTATAGTTGGGCTAAAATTAGCATGTGCCCGTAGTCCCAGCTACGCAGGAGGTTGAGGCAGGAGAATTGCTTGAACACAGGAGGCAGAGATTGCAGTGAGCTGAGACCATGCTATTGCACTCCAGCCTGGGTGACGGAGTGAGATTTGTCTCAAAAAAAAAAAAAAAGAATGGAGTAAACCCTCATGTAAGCAGAAGACATTAGAATTATATATCTATCCTTGTTCACCACCAAGATTTGATCATCTAAGGACCATTTTGAATGCTCAGGTACCTACATAAGGCTCATAATAGCCCTGATAGGAACTGTAATTGATTAAGCACTGTTCTAAGTAATTTGCATATCTTTTTTTTTTTTTTTTTTTTTGGGGGGGTAGAAACAGGGAGGCTTAGATTGGGTCTTGCTTTGTTGCCTAGGCTGGTCTTAAACTCCTGGTCTCAAGCAACCCTCCTGCCTTGGCCTCCTAGAGTTTTTGCATTACAGGCGAGAGCCACGGTGCCTGCCATGCATATTGTAATTCAGTATCCATATATACCTACTTTATGGTTGACTAAAGGGATTTTAAAAGATAATTTTGATTAGAGATGTTTCCTTTATTTCCTTGATGTTGACTTTGGCCCCTAACTCTGCTAACATTTGTGGAGGACTTCCTGCTACTACCAGCTGTGCTAGGTACTTTAAGCAGAGAAATAGAAGATAGGGGAGGCTCTGTGTATGGTTTTATTTATGAACAACCTCATTCAAGCTATGGAGGACCCAGTATTGAACTAGTTCCTGGCCACAACGGGCTGAGTGAGCAGCCAGAGGAATGTTTTAAAATTAACCAATTTTAAAACTCTAAGAAATGAATGCATTCTCAAACTGCCAGAAAACCAGAAGTCGTGAGTGTCATCTTCTCCCTTTCAGCATGACACCTTAGTGAGACATAGTATAAGGATTCCTGAATCATTGTATGAGTACTCAGTGAAAACTACACCTTTAAAAGTTTCGTATACTTGTTGACAAGAGGCGTTTCCATGGAGATTTCTGTTTGGGTTCAAGTTCTCTCCTATTTGTGTAGGACTTTGGACTTCCACTAGGGCTGTGCCATCTATTACCACATCTAACATATGAAAGGGCTTCTGTAATTATTTCTTATTTATGGCTCTGACCTAGAAAACACTTTTTTTTTTTTCTCTTAAAGTTCAAGATGTGAGAAACTTTCACAGATCAAACCTGGGCAGGGTGGGGCAGAGTACTAAAAGGGAAAAACCAAACAAGGAGGGCTGAGATGAGTGTGAACAGTCACTACAGCACAGGACTGGGGTGGTGCCCCATGGGGGAAGCAGGTGTAACTAGGAACCTCAACATTCCTGGTTGTTAGCATAGTATCTGGGCTAAAGGTGAGAATGGAGGTGATGCTTCCCGTTTCAGACTTGGTGTGAGCCTTGCTGACACCAGCAAGGTGTGGCCTCACAAACCAAAAGGCATTGCTCTTTAAAGAACTACAGGGATGGAATCCATATGCCTAGAATTCCCTTCTGGAATTCCCCTCATTTCTGTCTCCACTTTATAACTACAGAAATATATTACAACAGGCAGGCATCATTCTCATGGAGAGATCAATTTCCAGTCATTTGCCAAATTAGTCCAGGCTTTGTAGTCCCTTCCAGCCACCTGAAGGCTGTCTCGGTGACTCAGTTTTAGTAATGACAGCTACCATTTGTGGGCAGCTTACTAGATGCCACGCAAATTCAGCATATTACTTCCGCTCTCCCATTTAATGTATGCAACAGTTCTATATAGTGATTGCTATTGTTAAGCTTATTGTTATTATGATAATTTTGCAGCTTAGGTAGATTTTAAATAACCGAGGTGGGATGGAGATCCTATTCTAGCTCAGCTCCTTTGTTTTTTCTTTTTTAAGGACACAGAGTCTCAGTCTGTCACCCACGTTGGAGTCAGTGATGCCATTCTAATTCACTCAGTTTCAAACTCCTTGGCTCAATGCAATCCTCCCGCCTCAGCCTCCCAAGTAGCTAGGCTTACAAGTGCGCACCACAATGCCTGGCTAATTGTGTGTGTGTGTGTGTGTGTGTGTGTGTGTGTTTGTGTGTGTGTCTGTGTGTGTGTGTGGAGACTGGGCTCTGTTTTCCAGGCTGCAACCTCTGGCTGCAAGTGATCTTCCCACCTGAGCCTCCCAAAGTGCTGGGATTACAAGCGTGAGCCATCACACCCAGCCCCCCAGCACTGACATTTTAACTACCAAGGCTCAGAATCTCTGATTGACAGTTCAGAAATGTCTGAGAAGCTCAAACTGAGAATGTTACATCTGTTAGTCAAAACCTCATGATATCCAGGGCCACAGATGAGTTTTGGAATGTGTTGCCCCCTAGTGATCACAGGCACTTTGTGGGTATGAGAGAGGAGTAGGTCTGGAGCCAGAAACAGGAAATGGAAAAGAGCAGTGCTGGTTTTTAAGTCTTGGACAAATGGCATGATGTTGTGGTTACTTGTGCATCCAAGGCATGGAGCAGAACTGGTTTTATAGAGAGGACAACATACGCCCAGTGATGAGGCATTTGTTGGGCTTTGCTCCCAAATTGTCCCCTTGTCTTGTTCTAGTTCAGTTCCTCTGTAGAACTAAATCCCTTCTTCCTGAATTCCTTCCTGAACTAGTTACCACCTTGCCCCACCTCCCCCAACACACACACACACAAACACACACACACACACATACACACAGACACACACACACACTTTTTTTTAAAGACAAAAAATAGCCTCAATCCAGTGGCCAGTGTTGTCTTTGGCTGAGGAATAGTCACGTCTCAACAAGTCTACTTAAGAAAAGCATTTCCTCCAAGGCCTCTGACAAACCCAAACTCATCATCTTTACAACACCATAGCCTGAATGGGAATATTTCTCGCCATATATGAGAATTGTTTTCTTGCTTGTCTTTTCGGTTATTTTTTAAATTATTTATGTATTATTCTTATTTTCTTTTTTGGGGATAGAATCTCGACTGGTGGGCCAGGCTGGAGTGCAATGGTACAAACACAGCTCACTGCACCCTTGACTTCCCAGACTCGAGTGGTCCTCCTGCCTCAGCCTCCCAATTAATTGGGACTATAGGCGTACACCACTACCCTAGGCTAATTTTTGTATTTTTTGTGGAGATGGGGTTTCCTCAGTTGCCCGGGCTAGCCTTGAACTCCTGGGCTGAAGCAATCCTTCAGCCTTGGCCCCCCAAAGTGCTGGGGTTACAGACTTGTGCCACTAAGCCTGACCTGAAATTATTTTTATTATTTTTATTTACTTACTTATTTTGTTACAGACTCACTCTGTCACCAGGGCTGGAGTGCAGTGGCATGATCTTGGCTGACTGCAACTTCTACCTCATGGGCTCAAGCAATTCTCCTGTCTCAGCCTCCCAAGTAGTTGGGATTAGAGGCAGGCACTACCATGCCTGGCTAATTTTTGTTATTTTTTGGTAGAAACAGGGTTTCACCACGTTGGCCAGGCTGGTCTCAAACTCTTAGCTTTAAGTGATCCTCCTGCCTCAGCCTCCCAAAATGTTGGGATTACAGGCGTGAGCCACCACCCCTGGCCCCAACTGGGGGCAAATTTATCTTTCAATTAATCTTATTCTCAATAATAGTATTAATCGTCATCATTTATTCAGTGCTTACTCTGTATCAAGTACAGTGCTAAAGATTTTCAAAATTACCTTATTTAATCCTGGGATCATACCTATAAAGAATATGTTAATATTATTATCCCTACTGCACGGATGAGAAAACTGAAACTTAAAGGGGATAAACTACTTGCTTAAGGTGACATAGCCAGGAAGTCACTAAATTGGAATAGGAACTCTGTTATTTCCAAACTCTCTTAATCTCTACTCTGACAAAACTGATTGCAGTGTACATCTGAATGACCTCAACAATTTTTCACTTTTTATATTTTTATTAATTTTGTTTCTTTTTCCATTTTTATTTTCAGTGTCTTCTACAAACGCTTCTGGGAACTGGAGGACCCAGTTAACCATAGGGCTGTCGGATTACGAGACTCCAGCACATTCTTCTTACACCAGCTGCTATGGCAATGTCTATAATCCTTTACCCTCTCCAAGCAGGTGAGGAAGCAATCCTTGAAAATCCTAGGCACCTGTTCCAGTTCAAAATAATTCAGAGATCCTAATTTACAAATGTCAGATAATCTGGTTTAGGGGTTGGCAAACTATAGCCTGTGGGCCAAATTCAGCGGCCACCTCTTTTGGTAAATAAAGTTTCATTGGGGAATATCCACACTCATTCATTCATATGCTATCTATGGATTGTACTAGGAGGGCAGAGCTCAGTAGTTGCACCAAAGCCAAAATTACCTGGCCACCACAGTCAAAAAGTATCTGACCTTTCAGAAAAAGTTTGCTAACCCCTAATCTAACTCATTCAAATTTGGCCATGTTCTTCAATCTTACATTGAATTATTGTGTATTTCCTCTAATGTTTACAAAGAACTACTTGTACAGACACCAAAGCCAAAAATACCTGGCCTTTAAGAAAAAGTCTGCTATTCCCTCATCTAATGCATTCTGTTCTTTAGTCTTTACATTGAATTCAGAGTCCGAAGCTTTTTAAAAAAAACTTATGGTGTTTGAAACCCTATGTCCATTGTAAGTCTCTTTTGAAACCTTGCTGGAAAAATATCTCTACTCCAGGAAAGGCTGTTTCCTCAGACAGTTGGTAGGCTGGATTTCACACATTTGTTGCCTTTTCGTGTCTGATCCTGTGTTTGTTACGAAGCAACAGACACAGCCAGCTGTCCTGTTTGTCTGTAAAAGCAGTCCTTTGTACACATTAGAGGAAATGTACAAGAGCAATTTGTTAAAATTGTTTTTTTTTTTAATTGCAAATTTGGAATTACTTTTTACAAAATTCTTGTTGTATGCAGGAATTAAGTTTGAAAAGGTCATTTCTCCCTTTTACTTTCTCACAAAAGATAATCCACATGTATGGTACCAAGAAGTAGGGCAATTTCTGGTTTTTTAGAGTGTAATTTTTATTTCTTTAAGTCAGATTGCTTCAGGCACAGAAGACTTATACAGACTACAACTTATAAAGGTTTCTATGCTGGTAAATTTGAGAATTTAGCAGTTTCTTATCAAGACATTCAGTGTTACAAGCAAATTAGAAATATTCAGCCCCAAATGCCTTTTCTCCACATTCAGTGGGAGTTTTTCTTGGCTTGAAATATTAAGCCAATTGTCTCAGCTAAACAAAGGGTCTACTCAAAATAGAATTTTAATGAAAATATATTTCAGAAGACGTCAAATAGTTTGGACTTCCGTAAATGATGTTTGAAAATGAGTTAGGGGCAAGAACCAAAATGACTGGCCTAGAATTAGAGCTGAGCCTTATCAGTTTAGTTCTAACCAATTTTAAATAATATATTTGCAAATTCTTTTCATGTTTGTATAATTTTACTTTCCTTTTTGTTGACTCAGTTAGAAATGATGCTAAAACTGTCAGTACATTAGGCAGTTCTAATATCCTTAACACTGCTGTCACTGGACTCAGGAAGTGTTAAGCATTTTTAGAGAAAATCTGTTTTTACCAAGTCTGCTCATGTATCTCAGACAACCCAAGATGGTTTGATAGGGGATCAAAGGGGGCATAACGTACAGGAAATTAGAAGCTATTTAAAGATCCCTATTGTGTTTGTGGATGTGTGTGCATAAATGAGCTCATGGTGGAAAATTTATAATAAAGAGATAAATAAGTAGGAAATAAATTAGCCGTAATTCCACTGTCCAGAGATAGCAGCTCTTAACATTTTGGCATATTTCCCCCATTTCCCCATTTTTCTCTGTCCATTTTGTATGGTTATAATGATATTGTACGTACAGTTTTACATCTTATGTTATACATGAAATTCTACATCTCCATTTTTTTAAAAATCTTAACATCATAACATAACCATGTTCTCATGTGTTTTAAAATTTTCCGAACCGTATTTTATATGACCAATATGATATTCCACTTAAATATACCCTGCTTTATTTAACAGCGCCTCATTTTTTTAACAGTTCTTTTGAGAGGTGTTTAGATTTTTCTTTCTTTTTTTCTTTTATTAAAATACTGCAGCTATTTTTTTTCTTCTCAAGATGGAGCCTTGAAATGTTGTTGCCCAGGCTGAAGGGCAGTGGTGCGATCTCAGCTCACTGCAACCTCCGCCACCCAGGTTCAAGTGATTCTCCTGCCCTAGCCTCCCAAGTAGCTGAGATTACAGGCATGCACCACCACGTCTGGCTAACTTTTGTATTTTTAGTAGTGACAGAGTTTCACCGTGTTGACCAGGCTGATCTCAAACTCCTGACCTTGTGATACACCTGCTTTGGCTTCTCACAGTGCTGGGATTACAGGCATGAACCACGGTGCCTAGCCCAGTACTGCAGCTATTAACATCTTCGTCCAAAATACTTATCTGAATCCCGGATTATTTTCTTAGGATACATTCTAATAAATAGAGTTAATGGATTAAATTGAAAAGTGTATTTTTTTAAGTTCTTGCTTGCTAGAAAGATATGCCACTTTGCCCTTAGACAGCCACAGAGATGCAGAAGTGCTTATTTCCATCCAGTTTTTTATTTAGCATTCTTTTTATGATCCAGTCTGATCAATTTAACCTATTAACAAGACAAGGATAATAACAATCATTCATAAAGCTTTAGAAATTTGCTCTGAAATTCTGTAAATTGTTTTTATGAAAACATGATTTTTAAAATAAGAGAGAAATTAGGTTTTAAGATAAAGATGAGAAAATGGATTTTTCCTTAAGCTAAAGATTTGAAATGCATAGCAATATATTAGTGTTTTATTGTTTTTTTAAATAAAGCATATTATTTAAAGTGCTTTCCCCTAGAGTATCTAGGTCTTAAAATTATAAAAAGATACTAATTTTTACCATTAAAATTTTTTCTAGCACAATTGGCATAATTGTCGTTGGCATAAACTTTCCAAAGTAGAAATGTTGAAGCTACATAGTATATAATACAGTCAAATTCTTGGCTCTACTGCTGCAAGCTGTATTTTCAAATAACTTTTTTTCTTTTACCTCCTGTTTTCCATTCCCTTTCCCTTTTTCTATCTAACTCAATCTATTACTAGGCAAAACGAAGGGCTTCTATCCCCAAGAATGGTTGTGCCTCCAGAAATGAGATCAGTTGTAAATGCTCTTTTGCTAAGTGTAGCCAGCTGTAGTAAGTACAGTACTTCCAATCTGTGTGTTGCCTCTTGCATAGCAGGAGTTTTGCTTGAAACAGACTGATGTGTGAAATTATGAAACCTGGTTTTGTTTTTTGTGTTACATGAAAACGCTAAATCCTTTATTTCCAAAACTTTTTCCAAAGACTTTTTAAAAAATAACCTTTACTAAAAGACTTTGGAATGTAAAATTAAAAAGAAATCAACTAACGATCTAATCTCTCTTAACCTACAGTTGTAATAATGCAGTTTTGCTTATCAGAATGGTCTGTAGTATGATAGGATGTTCTCATTTGGAATTGCCATCTAAATATGCCTACGATTTTTAAATGTGATGCTGTTTCCTAGGTCACTTCCAATTTATGCCTGACCCACAAGCCCTAGGGATATCATATATGTCCCTAAGTGCCCCTGCTACCTTCTAAATATATTATTTTGTCCCTGAGGAAAACATCTAGTGTATTCCCTTAACTTGAAGCATACTTAAAATGTGATTGTCACCATATACTTTTTAAAAAGTTAAAAATATAACTGTTGCACAAGTAAAAATGGACTGCGTCAAAGATTGTTTAACTCATTATAAGTGAACTAGCAGAATGGTAAAGCTGGTTCAAAGTGAATTCAAGACACTGAAAAAATGTTGGAAAAGACTGCTAAATTAGATTCAAAACCAGTTAATGTCCTATAGGGCAATAAAACTGTAACCATAATCTTTTTTACTAGACTAGTTATTTATATTTCTTTGAGACAGAAATCTACAAGTTAACATATAACTTAATGCAATCTGGATCCTGATCAATGTTAAATACAAGTTAAACAAAGATATATCTTTCCAGAGAATTAAATAATCCTTTTTATGGGCCTGTTAAACAATGCTCCAGTATGACATGGGAAAAGCATGCAGGCATCCTTTTCCGTTGCCTTATCTCTACATTTTGGGAAATTTTTCTTAACAGTGCTTCCTACTAACTACTTTAAATGTAGTGTTTGTGCCTTAGGGAGAAAAATATGGCCACAAGTAGTAACTTTCCTGTTTTTTTTTTTAAATAGACAGTACACAGAAATCAGTCAACTGGACGGTACAGATGGACACCCGCTGGAAGACAGCCTGGAGAGTAGCGAGCAGAGACTCTTTTGGCATGAAGACTCCAAACCTGGAACATTAGTCTGAACTGCAGTTGGACCTCTTGACCAAGCACTGCATTCTCACACTAGTGTGCCTTGCAAATTGTATTTGTCTTCCCAGAGGATGTTGGCTTTAGAAACCTAAAGACATCAAAGGTTGAAGAGAAGACTTAGTTGCCCTGGAAGTGAATCAGTGAATCACACAGTAAGCCCCACAAAGCCCCTGAAGAGTGACTTGGACTTTCAAACTCTAGGCACTAATCTAACAGCAGAGTCTGCCCCCACATTGAAGCATTGCCAAGAGAGGACTCAGTGTGAAGCCTTCATTAACAGCAAGCACTTTTAAAGGGAATAGAAGTTGTTAAAGGCAAACCTCAAAACCATGAAAGGACATTCAGGATGTCCCATGGCAATAAGGACAGGGGAAATCTCAGAGCACAATTCAGCAGGATAAGAAAAGGGGAACCAGAAGCTCCGGAGTCATTGCTCACATCACCGAGTTTGAATTCGTGAGCTGATGAAGAATAATATGCTCTTTCTACACACACATGGACAATTTAGACAGTATTGGAAAATTACTTGAAGCTGGATTTTCATGAAGTTCTGAATGAGTGTAAATGTTTTTTAGGATACGATAAAGAGCGATGTTTTTCATAAGCACCGTAAAGGGTTCTGGAAAAACTTATTACCGTAGCATCCTGTAATATAACTTATGGTAGCAGATTGGGGAAAACGAAGCAGCCCACTGAATAATTGACAAACTCTGCTTGGAGAATTTTCTTAGGTACAATATCATTGAGCTCCTTTTCCCTTTCTCCACTAATTGCATGATGAGCTATTGTTCTGGCTGGTAATTCTCCAACTTGGTTGTCATTTGAAGTGGCAGACTTAATGTGGAAAGTTTTTATGAGTTTGAAAAAGTATTTTAAGATGATACAGAAAGCATCCAAAACAACAGCAAAAAAAAAAAAAAAAAAAAAAAAAAAGCCATGTCATTTTGGATGAATTGTGTGCCTTAAAATGGTGAACATTAGAAAATTAAACGAGTCTGGATTCCGCAAATGGTTCCAAGTCACCATGTGACAAAAACAAGGTTAACATAAAAAAAAACAACAACGACAAAAAATCTCCAGCTGCGGTGGATTTAATTATGAGGCTAAAACTACCTCATACTTTCCTTGGAAGAACTAATTAGCTATGGTTTATTGTAGAGTTTTGTTTGTTTTTTAAAGCAAATGATTTCCATATTCCAGATTGATCTTTTTTGTCGTCTTTGCTTCAAAATTCCATAAAAGGTGCTCCTTTCCCCCTCTTTTATACAAGTTTCTTGTTCATATTGTGAATAGAAAAGTTTCTGAACAACTTTTTTGGAACATTTTCTATCTATATTCCAAAGCATGTAATATATATACATATATATATATGTATATATATGTATATATATATAAATGATTTGTTAAACTGGTCCTTAGTCATTTGTATAATTAGAAGTGAAGTTTGGCAAAAAAATTTGGAAAAAAGACAAGCAAAAAAAATAACTTATTTCTTTTTTGCATATTTGTATAGCCTTCTAGAAACAGAAATAACCCTTTTGCATATTCTTTTATTGTTCTGACTTTTCAAGACCTATTATTTTTTTACATAGGTCAATAAATGAAAGGTGTGCTACTGAAAATGTTTATGTATTTTTCCATTTATGTCAAGGGTTCATGTGAAGTAGGTCACAGTGCTCTATTTCAAGTAATTATATTGAGCAAGATTTAAGATTTTTAATTACAGTATTACCGTATTTTATTAATTCTAGGATGTGCTTTTTTTTTTTTTTTTTTTTTTTTTTTAAGACTGAGATTATTTGCTCTTATTGCCCAGGCTGGAGTGCAATGGCATGATCTCGGCTCACTGCAGCCTCTGCCTCCTGGGTTCAAGTGATTCTCCTGCCTCAGCCTCCCAAGTAGTTGGGATTACAGGCATGCGCCACAACGCCCAGCTAATTTTGTATTTTTAGTAGAGATGGGATTTCTCCATGTTGGTCAAACTCCTGACCTCAGGTGATCCTTTTGCCTCAGCCTCCCAAAGTGCTGGGATTATAGGAATGAGCCAGCGCACCTGGCCTGTTGTACATTTAAAAATATTTACATTTGAAAATAGGGTTCATCTTTTTGGTTTTGTTTTTTTGTTTGTTTGTTTGTTTTGGCAAGTGTGAGATAGTAGGGTTCCTCTTTTGATGGATGACATATTCTACTTGAATTGGCAGTTTTTTCTTAATAATACATTAAAAATAATCCTGTATCTTACAATCAAGTTTTCTTAGAATTGTTGAAATACGGTAGTTTGTCTCACTGAGGATGACTGATGAAAATTTTTAGGTTTTTTAATCTTGGGAATGTTGTTTGTTTGTAGCAAGTAATTTATACTAATCTCACAGACTGGCAAACAGGTCTTTTAAATTCAAGAAATTAGTTCTCTGACTTCCTTTAATCCTATATAATGTAGAGAATGGAGTGGAAACGAAATGTAGGGAGACCTTAATATTTCCATATATCTATCTTACATAAAATAATATCTTTCTCTTCCAGAAATGGTATGGTTACAATTCCAAGTATGCCTTGAAAGAACAAATAGAACTTGGCTCCCAAAGAGCAAAAGAAGTTATAGAAATGGAAGCTCAGGGCCAGGAATGGTGCCTCACATCTGTAACCCCAGCACTTTGGGAGGCTGAGGCGGGAGGATCACTTGAGGTCAGGAGTTCAAGACCGGCCTGGGCAACATGGTGAAACCCCATCTCTGTGAAAATACAAAAATTAGCCAGTCGTGGTGATGTGTGTCTGTAATCCCAGCTACTTGGGAGGCTGAGGTGAGAGGATAGCTTGAGCCCAGGAGACAGACTTTGCAGCAAGCCTGGATCGTACCAGTGTACTCCAGCCTGGGCAATAGAGCTAGACTTTGTCTCAGAAAAAAAAAAAAAAAAACAGGAAGAAAGAAATGGAAACTCAGCAAGCCTGCTGCATGAATTCCTTCATCTCTTTTGAAAAACATTTCTCAACTACATTGGTATTAAACCAATTAAACATTATTTATTAAAAAACCAGAAAGTGACAAAATTACATTATTCAACGTGTAAGTTTCCTTTTTTTATTACAAAATACCATATATTCATGGTAAAAATATTAAATGGAAACACAAAATATAACAAAAACATAATCATGCCCATTAGCCTAACACTCTCAGATATAATAGTTAATTTATTGTACATTTGTTTGGATTTTTTTCTATGCATATAGTAATTTATTTTTAAATCCAGCATATTACAAGTACAATTTTACAACTTGTTTTTGTTTTTTGGTTTTTGTTCATCCAATGTATCTTGGGCCTCTGTATCAATACATATTGATCTACCTCATAAAGATGTATGTTTAAAAAGGTGGATTTTTAAAATTGCCTCACCCTCCTTGACATTTATATATTTTTCTATATTTGAGAAAATTTTTCAAAATTATTTCTTGTACTTACAAAAGCTTAAATATTATAAGAAATAAAGATTCCAGAATTGTTTTAAACTATTAGTTTGGCCTGTTCTTAGGAACAAAGGTTCAGACTAAAGAGTTTCCACGAATGTCAGTCCTTAAAGAGCTTCCAGAACTGGAAGAATGACTGACTTTCTTCAGTACAGGAAGCAAGTTTGGATTATTTTCTAGAGTAGTGCTTCTCAAACTATCAGTAGTGAAAGACTAATTTTTAAAATTTCAAATTCATTGTGTACCAATAGTTTTATAAAGTAAAATAAAAGCAAATTACTAGAGGAGAAAAGCTAATTCAGAAAAAAGTAAATTACTAGATGATTGAAAAAACAGATAAGAAAATATACATCCCTATTTATTATTAGATTCAGCAGACATAAAACTACCCTTTCAAGTTGCAATCGAAGTTTCTAAATACCAACTCAATTTCTGTACTTGTCTTGCCCCAAGTTGCAGCCCACCTTTTAATAAGCACTGACTTGGAGTTATGTCAGGGAAAGTGCTTCATCCATGCTTGTTAAGACAAGCCAATAGTTGTCTCCTATTATCTCACAGGGCATGGAGATACAGTCCATTTCTAAGGAGAAAAATCCTTTGACGTGTACACAAAGCCCAGAAGATAATAAAAAACTTAACTTCTTTATGAGCTCAAAGTTTAGTGAGCCTCTTACATCCTATTTCTTTTTCTTTTTCTTTTTTTCTGATGGAATCTTGCTGTGTGGCCCAGGCTGGAGTGCAGTGGCACGATCTCAGCTCACTGCAGCCTCCACCTCCCAGGTTCAAGCATTTCTGCCTCAGCCTCCCAAGTAGCTAGGATTACAGGTGCGCACCACCATACACATCTAATTTTTGTATTTTTAGTATCCATAGGTTTTTACCATGTTGTCCAGGCTGGTGTTGAACTCCTGACCTCAAGTGATCTGCCGTCCTCAGTCTCCCAGAGTGCTAGGATTACATGTTTGAGCCACCATACCCGGCCTGTTTCTCTCTTTTCATATGCCCCTCCTCTGGACTTCCCTGGCTTTTCTCTACTCTTCGGCCTCCCTTCCACCACCATCTTTGTGCCACTTTGGAGTAGAAAAAAGGAAAGTATCTCCTGCTGCAAAAACGAGTTGGCATTTGTTGAATTCTAGTTCAGTGTATGCCAGGCTGGCATGCAAAAGTGCTTTATGTGTGTTTCCCCCTTTACTCCCCACAACAGCCTAATAGGGTGTATAGTGCTATAGAATCTCCATTTTACAGAGAAAGAATGTGAGAATTAGAAAGGTCATCTAATTTACCACTAGCAGGAGAAAAGCAGGAAGTAAATCCTGAGTTGGCAAACTCCAGATACTAAACTACAAATTCCTCATTCCATGAATCCTTTCCAGGAGCAGCTTCTCCATAGAAAGAGTGAAAGTAGCAAACATAACTTTTTTTTTTTCTTTTTTTTTTCAGACAGAGTTTCGCTCTTGTTACCCAGGCTGGAGTGCAATGGCGCGATCTCGGCTCACCGCAACCTCCGCCTCCTGGGTTCAGGCAATTCTCCTGCCTCAGCCTCCTGAGTAGCTGGGATTACAGGCACGTGCCACCATGCCCAGCCAATTTTTTGTATTTTTAGTAGAGATGGGGTTTCACCATGTTGACCAGGATGGTCTCGATCTCTTGACTTCGTGATCCACCCACCTCGGCCTCCCAAAGTGCTGGGATTACAGGCATGAGCCACCGCGCCCAGCCCTCAAACATAACTTTTTTAATGGATTAATGAAAGTTGAATGGATACATGCTAAATCCAGTTATTCTTGCTCATTGTTACTTCCTAATGATAACAGTCCTAATTTTTTTTCGTTTTCTAGTGGCAGAAGGGCAGAGTCAGGCCTAAATCCAAGCACAGGTCACAGTTACCCTTACTTAGGAAACTACCCAGTCTCAGGTGGTGACCACTGAACTGAAGTATTAAAGGATCAAGTACATAATTTATTGCTAGTGGATCAAGTACCTTTCTTAAATTGTTTTCTAGTCAATAAAATGTCTTACACTAGTGAATATACTTGTTAAAATCGCAGATAACCATAATGAACTAAATATTGATCAGTGACACTGAAAGTATTTATTGATCCTTCCCCATTTTGGATTGTTCAGGGGCAGTGTGATAATGTGAATTACAAAAGGCTCTTTTACAACGCCCTTGAGACGCCCTCTCAAAATTCAGCCCTATCAGATGTATGGACCTGTGGACTTCACTCTTGATTATCTTTGGAAAGAGTGCATCTGAGATTAATCTCAGATCAGAATCTGAGCCCACCATCAGCGTGTTCTTGTAACACTTTCATCCTTTTCTGCCTTTGGTGATTCAAGGAGAGTCTGTCACCTCTGCAAAAGAATATAGAAAGTGTGCGAAAGATCTGTTTTGGCAATACTTACCTGATTGTTGTTCTTAACATTAAAACAGACACAAACACATTCTGTTTCGTTTTGCTTTTGAATATCAGAAGCCTTGGCAAGAATAGTGTACTGGGACTAGGAGGGAGATGGGAGTTCATCTAACTTCTGAGTTTCATATAATTTTCTCTTCTTGAATGGTTATAACATTCATGAAGTACC